ATAGATATATAGCTACATTCTGTTAATTCAAGGAATAGAGGGATTTGTTCTAATACTGTTTGTAAATAGGATATCATGTCTGCATCTTGTACAACAAATAACCACTAGGAAGACAGTATGCAATGTGTTAATTATTGGAACTGTCCTACCAATTTGATTTGAAACTGTCTCATTGCTATTTATTTCTCAATAAAATTATGGGGGAAAAAACCTGTACACAATAGATACTGTAAAACAGGAAGAAACTGTTCAAAAGGAAAGAGAAACTGGAATGAGAGAAAAAAACAATATATACATATATACACAGGATAATTAAAAGACAGGTATACTAATTTCTCTTAGTTCACTGAAAAAAGAGGTTTGTGCTAACATTGTTTGGACAGTTAAATGCCTGGATCTTGCACCCTGAGCAACAATTTGCAGAGAGCAATACAAAATGTATTAACCATTGTTACCCTCCTATTATCTTCCTCTGAAATTTTGTTTTTTGGGTTTTTCTCTTTAAAAAAAAATGTGCACAGTATTTTAATGCAAGATCTTAGCCAGTAGATGGCCGAAGTAAGCACCTTCAGTGTAGAAGGCCAGGCTTGCCAACTGAGATTGAGACTCTGGGCTGTAGCTCAGGCGTAAAGTGCTTGCCTAGAATAAGGAGCTCTGAGTTCAATCCCTAATAACTGGGGAAAAAACATCTGAGCTGTCCCCAAGAAATTTTTATTTATTTATTTTGAGTCAGGGACTCAGTGCATGGTTCAGGATAGATTTGAACTTACGATGTACCCCAAGCTGGCTTCAAACTTTAGGGAATCTTCCTGTTTCAGCCTCTCAAGTGCTAGAATTACAGACATTCACTACCATACCCAGCTTAGAAATTCATAATCTTTTTTTTTTTTTTGGCATACCTGGAGATTGAGCTCAGGCCCTCGCACTTGCCAGGCAAGCGCTTATTCTACTGAGCCATCTCCCTGGCCCCTAAAATTCATCATCTTGAAGAGGGAAAGATCCATATTTAGTAAAGCTCTGAGGTAAAATTAACAGGTTAATGGTTGCAAGGGGTCACACTTCACTCACACAGAAGAGGGTCATTTGTGAGTTGGCCTGAGGAAAGACTTCCTGAAAGTGACACCCTGGAGCTGAGGCTAGAAAATTTAAAAGATTCAAACAACCCAGCTCAGGTGGGAGGGGGGTGGGGGGATGGGATTCTATACAGACTGTAACAGGAGCTAAGTGTTATTCAACCAACAGAGAGGAGCAGGGTGTGACCAAAGCACATAAAGCCTGGGGAAGAGTGATACATAAACCTCTAAGTGGGGCTTCAACCAGATCTTACTGTTTTAGCTGGAAGGCCAAGAAAGTAAGACTTAATCTTACAGACAAAGCAAACATATGCAATGAGATGAAAGGGTCATGTGATAAACTAGAGTTTTGCTTTAATCTGCCTTCAGAGGCTTTGCCTAGCAACGTTCCTTGACTAACTGACAGAGAAAGAGGCAATAACTACAAATAAAAAATATACATAACTCGGCAAGCAAGAACTATTTCCTCTCTGACCTCAGGATCAGAAAATTCCCCATATCCAGTGTGACTAGGTGGGGAGTCATCCCTGCCCAAAACAGCCATGCCCTCACTTACGGCAACACAATGTCTGAAGCAATGCTAGTGTCTTTCCCCCTGGGGCCGCACACAGGTCAAGCACAGTGTCCCCAGCGTGAAGGCCAAGAGCCAAGACAGGTAGCAAGGAGGCAGCATCCATCAGGTAGTAGTCCATAACACCCAGGCTGCCAAGTCTGCAAAAGAGACCATCTTAATGTTAAATTCCAGGTCAGGACACCTACTGGGAGTCAATGCCACCAAATCCATGCTCCCAGGGGCCACTGAGCTCCACTCAGCAAAAAACTAATTTCTCAGACTCACACTGAATTTTTCTCTCCCTCATTCATTCATCTATACAGTGCTCTGGGGGAACACTTTACAAAAGGCACATGCCTGTAATCCCAGTACTCTGAGAGGACAAAGAAAGAGGACTGCAAGTTTAAGGTCAGCCTGGACAATTTAGCAAGACTTTGTTGCAAAATAAAAAATAAAAAAAGGGTGAAGACAGAGCTCAGAGTAAAGATTCTGGGTTCAATTCCCAGTATTATCCCCCCACACACAAAAAAATCTGTGCCTTCTTCCTGCACCACTCTTCCTTCAAACCTCCCTATGTGCTTCTTCATTCTTCTCAGGTCTGTTCTCAAAAGTTACCTCATCAGAGTGTTAGCATTCCCTGACTATTCTATCTAAAATAATAGCCCCTATTCCATTACCTTCTAGCTCTCTACTTGCATTATTTGTATTTAAAGCACTTGTTATTCATATTATACATATAGATATTTGTGGTTTTTGTTTCTCTATCTTGACCTATTAAAATGTTAACTCTATGACAGCAGGGATTTCTGTCTGTTCTGTTCATCATAATAGCCCCAACTCCTGAAACAGTGCCTGGTACAAAGCAGGAACTTAGTTTTATTACATAATGAAATGCAATGTGCTTTACAGATTCAGAGGGTAAGGAAACAGAGGTCTTCATTAAGTAAAAAGAGGTACATTCTTTTTGTGTGTGTGTGGCCAGCTCAGCCCACCCTGGGGGTGGGGCTGGCAGCGCATGTGGTACCAGGGATCAAACCTCATCCCTGCACTTGCCTAAGCTTGCCTAAGCAGGTCCCTTAGACTGTTAAGCTGTCTCATCGGCCCCGAGAAGAACATTCTAAGCAGAAGAGAAAAGAAAAAGCCAAGCACAAAAACACACAAATTCATACCTTCTGTTAGTGACAAATCTGGTGTAGCAGAAATACAACATGTGTTAAGATTGAAGCTGAAGGGCTGGTGAGATGGCTCAGTGGTCTAAAGCACCTACTTAGAACAAGCTAAGCTAAGCAAAAGCACAGGGACCACGGTTCAATCCCCAGCACCACATGCCAGCCAGCCCCGCCCCTTGGTGGGCTGAACTGGCCACACACACACAAAATAAATTAATTAATTTTTTTAAAAAATCCTGTTTAAAAAAAAAAAAA